GTGCGGACCACCGTAGCTACGAGAGTCAACCTTGGAAAGAAATGTAACTATATCAAACACGGATGGTTTGTGATTGGGTACCCCTTGCATGGTGGTTCGTGCCTCTCATCTCAGGTGTTGTTGGACAGTGAGAAGTTCGGCTTGCTGGCATGGCGATGGGTGCGCCAGCCGCCGTGCTTACCAGGGTCATTGTGATGAGCTTTGTAGCTTGTGGGTAGTTATGGTATACAATGGTATGCGCCAAGCTTTGTCCTCCTGGGCAGTAGAAGTTGGAAGGCTGGAGTAGTCCTGAGGAAGGGTGAGGAGGGATGCACGGATGCACCTCATTATATAAACCTTTACCGTCGGAGGAAGAGACGGACTGGCGGCAAACCGAGCGTCGTGGCGGGATGAGAGCCGAAGACGAAGACCGAACAAGCCATGCCAGACATGCTTGCCTCACCAAACACCGGCTTGCAGACTCCTGACCACCCGAATTCGGTTTCAGACTCCTTCATGGCAAATCATGGCTGGTCATTGATGATCATCGTGTTTCCCTGTTCCAATTTGACCCGTCACCTTTTGGCTTCACCCAGTTTCTCAGATTCTCACCCAACTCCCAGCGCGTCAAACAGGGCGATCGCATGTTCCAAGCTGGGCCCTTTTATCGCTACCTGCAGATCTTCGGCGTGCTTTTAACCGGCGCTTTAGAGAGCCTTCTCGCAGAAGATGCCCATTGCACAGATCTGGGCCTCCCCAAGGAGCGATTTTGCGGCGCACGAGCGAACATGGAAGCAGCATTTCAGCTAGGCATGGGACGCATTTCAGCTAGGATTAGGATGGGAAACCGCATTGAACTCCCCACGGTGATTGAGCTTCGAGTCACAGGCCAGCAGTTTTGCTTGTGCGAGGAACAAGTGAAGGAGCTCGCGCTCCGCACCGCACAGTTCGATCACATTTTGGGTGGAACCAGGTGCGAAGATCCTTGGAGCGTGACTGGCAGGCAGGTGTCAAGTTGTCGGTCTGCAAGAGTTCTTCCATGAGGTCTTGTAGTTGCAGACGCCCAGCAAAGAACTCTAAACTCTAAAAAAGCAGCTCCAACCCTAAGGATGCTGAGATGGAAATAGCCGGAGGATAGCCAAGACGACCACATGTACTGGCTCAACATATGAGAGAACAATAACATAATGTTCACATCACAATCATATTCCACGAGTCAACTATATACCGGCACCTCTCTCCACCAAGAACAATATACAATTGCAAACAACTGTCAATAAACATTTACTTGTATCGAAAGGTTGCGCAATATACCAAGGAACAGTATTTTTTAATACACTATTGTCAATTGAACAATGGATTTTAATGGTTTTTAATCAAGAGGTTGCACGGCTGTCAATAAAAAAGCAAATTTTAAAAGGTTGCAAAAAACACCGGACGTTCTCCTGCACAATAGACAAGTCTTTTTCTAGCAAATCCTAGTTGACCAACTGAATGCAGCAAACACGTGCAGTTCTTGTTGCATCAAACATCTAAACTTAACTTTACAATTTTTACTCACTGTCAACATACTTCAACAAAAGTGTTGGCAAAGGGTACCGGTACTTACGGTTGCCAATGACATAAACTACAGTCAATCCCTGAGGATCCAAGCTGTTTGAGGTAGTCGGAGTGGAATAGCAATATCACAAGGTGTTCGGGGCCAACTGCATGATGTGAAGTTTTTTGGATGTACAAGAATTCCACCCCAAGCTATCCTCCCTCCAGATTTCACCGGTGCACGCACTCGACGTCCCTCGTTAAAATAACAATTGTTGACTCAAATCATCTCAAGCCTTTTGGCACCAAACATGTTTTGTGATCATTGTGGTTGGCCAAGAGTTGGGATGCAAAACGCTGCCGCTCAATGACCAACAGTCACACAAGTGCTGGATGATGTTCGATGTTTTGTTGTTTCAGCATGTTTCAGCATATCAGTACCACTCGTTTGTTCCGCCTCAAGTTGATCACTCATGTTTTGCGTGTGTTATCTTTTTGCGGGGGGCTCACAGCCTCATGGCACCGTTGCCAAATCAGCCAGTAATAGACTAGACTAGACCCATCATTTTGCCAGGGCATGACTTCTCGGGGTCGTTTTGTTGGGTTGTACATCCTCATGCGTCCCGAGGATGTCAGCAACGCGGCCTCTTGGCAGAAAGTATAGTAGTAGCTCGGGGTGGTGGACTTGGTGAAGCAACCCGAATTGTGATTTCGTCACTATAGTACTGTAGGTACTGGTTCTGACCAGCCACGGAGTACTGACCAAGGTGGTAGCTGGCAGATTGTTTGCGATGTAAGTATTCGCTGAGCTGCTTGCTTTTGCAAACCGAAAGCTGCCATTGGTTTGGTTGAGACGCTTGTGACGCGCTTCTGCTGTTTGAAATCAGGAGGGGTGGGAAGCAGTTCGGCTCATCCAAACAACCAACCTGGGCCAAATGCCATTCTTACCAGCACCGCAGTGCGGTGTAAGATTTCCAGAATGTCGTTGTTTGTTCATCGAACTCTTATAGGGCTCAATCTCTAAACATGTGGGGTACATAAAGAACTTTGAACCCGTTCTGCAAACGCGCCGTTTGACACGTTATACGTCCTCCAGCCGACCGCGTTCGCTCTGCCTCAGGGCCTGAACGCTGCCTTCGTCCGCCTGCGCTCCACCATCGGGAAGTTCCGTTGAGGGTGACCGGACTGCGAGATAGGTTCAGCTTCCCAAAAGGGTGTATCAAACCCCACCCTCACTCTGTCAGTGGAAGAATCCGGGATCAACATAAATCAACTCTTTGGGCTGGATTGGATCAGCTCTACACTTACACACTGCCCTCCAGGGCCTGCTAGGCTGATCGGGGGGCCGAACCCTGCCGCTTCTGGTGTTTGGATGTGGAAGGGTGTGTTGATTGATGTGTGATGTGATTCATTTGCGGGTGTGTGTGTGTGTGCGCGTGCTGAATGTGCTGCTCACAAGACCCAACATGTCCTCAGTTCGTCCACCGGCGCCCGAAGAGACACCATTGGGACCATTGATGTCCCATCAACCTAGGCAGTCTTACTTCTCTGAATCCCGGCGGTGCTCCTGAACGTAGTTGGAAGCGCCTAGAGAGTTGTTCAACCCGCGATGGGCATGGTCACGAAGTACGATTGACCCCTTGGAGACCACTGGGTGACAGCAAGAGGTTTTGTTGAGACGCTGACATGTTCATGATTGTTCATGTGTGCTGAGACTGGACACTTGGGGGGCAGAAAAATGTGGACCAAGCCTGCTCACAAAGCCTGGGCCTCCAAAGCCTGTTTTCTCCAAGACTGAGTGGCTGAAGGGCGCGACAGGAAGGATGTTGTCGTGTTGGAATCCTGAAATGTCCGATCCAGCTGATCCAGTTCACTCCTGTAAATGTGCTCCTATGGCTGACTCGTCTTACTCCATATGGCTGATGGACCAGTCCAACCGAACGCGACGAAACCCATATTGGGATGCAAGGAAGACGAGGTGCATGCGACGACGCCCGTGAAGCAGATGAACGATATGAGCGCTTTGTTGGTGTTCGGTGTCCTGGACCTTTGGTCTATCAGCCGTGTGATCTTGTTTTGTTTTGGCTGCTTGCGAGAGCACGATTCCCCAAAGGGGATGTCGGCTTAGATGTACCGGACGCGAGTTTAGGATTCCTTTGCGATGGGGTTGGTTCATACCACTTCCATCTTTCCCGGAGCAGGCCAGGCACCTGTGTGAAGCAGTATGTGGCACGTGGTTGAAAAGAATGAGTTCTAAATAGGAGGAGGAGGAGGAGGAACTACCAGGGTCAGAGTACACATGTCAC